TCTGAAGTAAATAGGATGAAATTCAATAAGGACAAATGCAAAGTACTCCACTTAGGAAGGAACGATCAGTTGCACACATACAAAATGGGAAATGACTGCCTAAGAAGGAGTACTGTGGAAAGGGATCTGGGGGTCAGAGTGGATCACAAGCTAAATATGAGTCAACAATGTGACACTGTTGCAAAAAAAAAAAAAAAAAAAAAAGGGGGACAGCAAACATCATTCTGGGATGTATTAGCAGGAGTGTTGTAAGCAAGACGCAAGAAGTAATTCTTCCACTCTACTCCATGCTGATAAGGTCTCAGTTTGAGTATGGTGTCCATTTCTGGGTGCCACATTTCAGGAAAGATGTGGACAAACTGGAGAAAGTCCAGAGAAGAGCAACAAAAATTATTAGAGTTATAGAAAACATGACCTACAAGGGAAGAGTGAAAAAATTGTGTATGTGTGAGACATAAAAACAGTTTTCAAATACATAAAAGGTTGTTACAAGGAGGAGGGAGAAGAATTGTTCATCTTACCTTCTGAGGATAGGACAAGAAGCAATGACTTAAATTGCAGCAAGGGAGCTTTAGGTTGGACATTAGGAACAAATTGAATAGGGAGGTTGTGGAATCTCCATCATTGCAGGTTTTTAAGAACAGGTTAGACAAACACCTGTCAGGAATGGTCTAGTTATTATGTAGTCCTGCAATCATGGCAGGACGACTGGGCTAGATGACCTGTTGAGGTCCCTTCCAACCCTACACTTCTATGATTTTATGACAGGGAGCCAACAGCCTAGAAGCCCTGCGAGCCCCAGCTCCTAAGCTCCCATCCCAGGCTGTTCTGAAACTCAGCTAGTGGGCTGCCACCGAGTGGGGCTCCAAAGGCTCCCAGAATCTTGGCTCCCTTTCAGCCTATCAGGTGATCTGATGAAGAGCCAGGAACCTGGAAGCCATGTTCCAAATCTCAGAGGCTCTACGGTTAGCCAGGACTCAGAGCGCTTCCAGACACCTGGTTCCTCCACAGCTCACCAGGCAGTCTGACAAGGAGTCAGAATCTGGAAGCACGAGGAACTCCAGCTCCCAGCTCAGCCAGGGCAGACCTGGAGATTCCCAACTGCCCTTCAGCTCACCAGTCTGACTGAAGAGGAAGTAGCTTGGACGAGCTAGCTCCCAAACTCCTAGGCTTGTAACTCCTCAGCAGCCTGGGCTCCCAGGGTCCACGGCTCCAGGGCAGTCCACCAGGCTGACTGCCTCAGAGCTGGGACGTCAGTCCCTTTCATGGGAGATTGTGAAATGTTTGAATTTTATTCCAAATCGGAATGAAATCAGTTTTCAAAATATCAAAATCCTCCGCAAAACGGAATTACCTTTCCCCACCCCACTGTATCCTATGCCAGACAATCCACATACACCTCCAGATGACCGTAAGAGGAAAAAAACATGTCCTCGGAATCAACTGCGAGCACCATGCTACTGACAGTGAATTTTGAAGGCAAGATCAGAGGTTTAGGGTGCAAGATGGCATACAAAGGGGGTCTATACTAGGCTTCTTTCTGAAAAAACTGCTCCCTCTGCTACGGCTCCAGTCACTTTGCAGTGCTAGTGCAGGAAAGGCTCCTATGGCTGCTGCTACCTGTTTTAAAACCATTCTGTTTAAGCCCTGTTCTGAGCAAGTTTCAATGAGGTGGTAGTAAAAGCACCGGCAGCTGCCAGAGCCTTGTCTAGCCTAGCAGTCCTGATGTCGCTACCACCCATGCAGCTGCACCTGGGATAACAATGCAGTGAGATCTGTCAGGAAGAAAAGTCTAGTGTAGACAAGGTAAAACCTTAGACTTGCTAAGGAACCCTAAAGCAACTTATGAACTAAAACTCAAACTGAAACGACAGACCAGGGATTTCAAACCTAAAAAGTGACCATTTGGAAACAATATCCTTTTCTCAATTTCCATTTACTGCTGGGCTAACAATGAGAGTTCACTGCCACTTTATAATACGGAAGACTGAATAACTAAAATAATAATACTTGGCTCTTATATAGCATTTTTCATCAGGCGATCTCAAGGTGCTTTACAAAAAGTCAGTCAGTATCTTTATCCTTGCTTTTACAGATGAAGAAACTGAGGCACAAAACGATGCAGTGACTTGCCCAAGGTTACTCAGCAGGCCAGTGGCAAAACCAACACTAGGTTTCCTGAGTCACAATCCATTGTTCTATCCCTAAGACCACACTGCCTGTCCCAATGGTTGCTAATTTCCAGTACACAATGAATGATCCAGATTTAACAATACAGTATATGAGTCTGAAAGGAGCAGTGAGAATAAACAGGCTTCCATCATGAGTGTCATCCTGCCACAGTCCAGCCTTCCTTTCTCACTGAACATCAGTAATATACTTCTGTCCATTTCTGACCTTTTTTGTAGGCTTTGCCAATACCCATGGCATCACATGATCCAAGAAATTTATATTTCCTTACCTCAGCTGATATGGAGGGATCTTGGTAGCAGCATCAGAAGATTCCAAAGTTTCTGTATGAGTAAAGGAAAGAAGAAGAATGTTAAAGGAGACAATGTATTCAGAATCTAAATACTCTACATTTCCACAGTTCTGAATTATTGTTCCCAAACCTGACTTCTATCAATAGCACTGACAGTTAATTTACAGCTTATAATTTCAAAAAATTCTCTGTGGGCCTGATCCTGTGTGAGGTTTTAAGTGCTTTTCTCATTGTAGGGAACCCTTCTAGATGTCAGCATGATGACAGACTATCCTGTTCCAGGGTCCTGTACATATCTACAAATTTGCACCAAAATAACAGCAGCTGTGGATTACAAATGATTTAATTATTTCAGTCCAAATCTGTGTGTGGACACTGTTTCAAAATCAGCATCCACCTGGACTTGCAACAAAATAACTAAACTGGTTTTAGGATATTGATTTAGTTACATTGGTGCAAGTTTATGTATAGATTAGGATTGTCGATTAATCGCTGTTAACTCGTGTGATTAACTCAAAAAAATTAACTGTGATTAATAGCACTATTAAACAATAGAATACCAACTGAAATTTATTAAATATTTTTGGATTTTTTCTTCTACATTTTCAAATATATTGATTTCTATTACAACACAGAATACAAAGTGTACAGTGCTCACTTTATATTATTTTTGATTACAAATATTTGCACTGTAAAAATGATAAACAAAATAAATAGTATTTTTCAATTCACCTCATACAAGTACTGTAGTGCAATCTCTATTGTGAAAGTGTAACTTAAAAATGTAGATTTTTTTGTTACATAACTGCACTCAAAAACAAAACAATGTAAAAACTTTAGAGACTACAAGTCCACTCAGTCCTACTTCTTGTTCAGCCAATTGCTAAGACAAACAAGTTTGTTTACATTTACGGGAGACACTGCTGCCTGCTTCTTATTTACGTCACCTAAAAGTAAGAACAGGCGTTGCAGGGTATTTACGTGCCAGATATGCTAAACATTTGTATGCTCTTTCATGCTTCGGCCACCATTCTGGAAGACAGGATTCCATGCTGATGATGTTCATTTAAAAAAATAGTGCATTAATTAAATTTGTGACTGAATTCCTTGGGAGAGAATTGTACGTCTCCTGCTCTGTTTAACGCATATTCTGCCACATATTTCATGTTATAGCAGTCTTGGATGATGACCCAGCCCTGTCACTGCAGATTTGACAAAACAAAAAGAGGGTACCAATGTGAGATTTCTAAAAATAGCTACAGCACTCGACTCAAGTTTTAAGAATCTGAAGTGCCGTCCAAAATATGAAAGGGACGAGGTGTGGAGCATGCTTTCAGAAGTCTTAAAAGGGCAACACCCTCAGTTCTGCGGCAACTACAGAACCCAAACCACCCACACAAAAAAAAAAAAAAAAAAAAAAAAAAAAAACACAAAACAACCTTCTGCGGGGGGCATCTGAC